CCCCCCCCCCCCCCGCCAACACACAACACTTTTTAGAAATATATGAAATTGATTATACAACGAAATCTCTCGCGAATTTTTATAGTCGCATACACTACAAAACATTAAATATGACCAAGGCCCGTTTTATACGTCGAATTTTGGTCGCGTCGAATGCAATTAAGACAATAGATAATGAGATGATGAACCTCATTAAACTTCATTATCTATTGTTTGAATTGCATTCGACGCGACCGAAATTCGACGTATAAAACAGGCCCAAGATACTTGCCAAAAAATTTTACTTAAAATTTTGTTTGCAGATATACTGCCACATTTGATATGCAAATGCCCGTCGTTGCGTCTGTATGTTAAAGAAATAGAAAAGGTTTCTCGATGTTTATACAGTTGTAGAAACACGCGTAGGATTTGGGGAGAATAGTAAAAATCAGTGGGAAAACGCCCGAAAGGAGAGATTTTCCAAGTTATTTCGAGTTCTCCCAAACTACAAGTGTTTGTATATATTTGTATAGCGTACACGGTAAAAAATATTTTCTATTGTTTTTCTACCACAGGTCAAGAAAGATACCGAGCGATAACAAGCGCCTACTACCGAGGAGCCCTGGGTGCTATTGTCGTCTACGATATCACGAGCACGAAGAGTTTCGAGAATATCGACCTATGGATTGACGAATTACGACAACATACGGACGATAAGGTCGTTTTAATGCTTGTAGGTAATAAAGTCGATCTACGTCATTTGCGTGCAGTCGAAAAGGAGACGGCATCCACTTATGCCGCAGAAAACAAAATGCATTTTGTCGAAACTTCGGCACTGAACGCCATGAATGTCGACGTCGCATTCGAGAGCACATTACGCAAGATTTATGAGATTGTAAGAGAACAGGAGAGTGACAGGAATGAACACGAAAATGAACAAGCTACGATGCTGAATACGAAAATGAACGGAGAAAGTTCTGTGCGTTTAAAAGAAGACACAAATGCTGATAAAGGACGGCCATCATGCTGTTCTTAGTAATGATATTGCTCTAAAATTGTACAAATTCGAAGGTTAATAGTCTAATCCGATTTTGTGAATCTTGTATGGCTAAGTGTGTATATTTGATATGTAGATGCATGCATGCAGTTTATATCTGGAACTAGAACTGCGAGATTAGATTAAATATATACATTCAAATGCATACATTAATTAACAATTATTCGCCGAAGGCGAGGTGATTATCGGTGAATAAAAACCGAGACGAAGTCGAGGTTTTTATTCACGATAATCACCGAGCCTGAGGTGAATAATTGTTTTAGTATAATTTCATAGGTGATTATTTGGGAAAAATAAGAAAATACACATTTCTTCGTCATTTAATTGACAAAAAGGCTTCGGCCGCCATTTTGAAAATCGCGTAGGTGATTATCGCGTAATAATCACCTCAACGGCAACCAATCAGCGTGGAGAATTTTCAATAATCACCTAAGTAATTATACTAATTGCATATAAAGCAAATTTGGTCTGAGATTAAGCCGAATCAAAGGAAACTGCAGAGGGACCTGAGTATATAATTATGTTACATTCACAAAAATTGATAACATGCATAAATGAGTTTTCAGTATATCTACTAGATATTATCTAGGACCGACAATCATGCTCATTTTGCCGCACAAAACATCAAAATGGGTCCGCAGTTTTCGCTACAACCCACCCTCCCATGCAGTGCTGAAAATGTCATTAAAATGTTTGACATGAATAAAAATACATCAACCGTGCACTCAACCAATTGCCTCTTAAGAATACAATAATCTATAAATGTCATGTCATTTATGTCCTAAAAACGTGATGTTAATCTCTTTTTGACAGCGCGTAAAGAGTTTTATATAATAACTACAGTGAAACACGCAATTTGATTGGTCAATAGCCGTGCAGGATCAGACTATCCTACACGAGGAATTAAAATGCCTTCGCGGGATTTTCGCGGGATTCTCAAAATGTCATTGTTTCACTGTAGTTATTTTATAAAACAATTACCAAATGGTTTTCCAAGCAGGATAGCGTGACCATGCACTTGCGATGTTGCTCGACTTTCGGAAAGTGTAAAAATACACTCGCCTGCGGCTCGAGTATTTTTACGCTTTCCGAAAGTCTCGCGACATCCCTCGTGCACGGATCACGCAATCCTGCACGGAAAACCATTCGGTATTCCTTTATTAATATCGTACTACACAGATTTGTATTTAACAAATATAAAACATTTAAACATGCAGTTATATCAACATGAGTGGGAATTGGGAAAACGAGAAATTGTGTGGCACAAAGCACAAAATTATGTGGCAATAGCACAAAGAAATAGAAAGAAAGAAATTTCCCATGTTGATATTGAATTATATCAACACGGCTCTTAGCCAATCAGCGTTCAGAATTTATAAATGCTATATTATAATTAAATTACAAGAAATTCTCTTCCATCACTTTGCTTTATACCAATTCCACCTACCACGCAAAACGTCAGTCCGTACCATATAGATATCTTATATACACTAGATAGTGCATCTAATTATTCCGCAATTCAAAAATTGAAGCCGTGATTGCAGTCTCAGGTCGTTCCCATGAGATGAGAAGATTCGTATGTTTTCTATTTCTTAAACAGAGAACTTAAACATTAAGTTAACCCTATTCCAAATATGCTTTTAAACTATTCAAATGATGAAAGCTATTGTTGTTTTTAAGCGTTTATTAGCAAGTGGGAACGACCAACATGGCCGCCATCTATTCAAATGGGGGTAACCGCTGGAATATTATTGGCTTCAATTTTACTAAAAGAGATGCGCTATCTAGTGTAGTAAGATATCTATGGTCCGTACCCACCCAGTCGTTTTTTGAGTGGCAAAATGAGTATGGACGAATTGTCCTTTAGTGCTGGTTAATAGAAATGAAAGACTATTAAATTAGAATTGCGAGAAAGAGGCTTGCATTTATATTACACTTTAAAATTAAAGCCCACTATGATGAAAGAAACGTCCATAATGCAAAATGTCGCCGAAATAATTTTTCCGGAAAAAAATTTTTCGGTACTAGTCACACACAATCCCGAAAAGTCGGGCAAATTTCTTTTCGCCCCCTAATTTTTTCCTTCCGGTACGCCCATGGACCCCCGGACTTTTACAAAGGTGTCATCCACATCCCCAATCTCACTCTTAACTTCTCTGCAAAGTTGAGAGGTCTGGTTCCATGTTCACTAGGAAAACTTTGTTCCACTTCTACTTACATATGTAGGCAGTAGGCTAATATTGTGCAATGTTGATTTTCAACCTGGATCTTGTATCCTTGCAAACTGAAAGAATAGTCTTTCCCTTGCTTTATTTTGCTGCTTTATCGTACAATAGTATTGAAAATGAACTGTTCAATCAATTGTATAGTTGACTACGCCGAGTCTACGCGCGCCATAACGTGCCTACCTCTGCGCCATGTTGGATTTTCAAATTTGAAAACACTTTGCAAATACTTCATGTAAGGACCAAATCCGAACTCTCTGAGCATGTGTAAAAATTTTTTATAGCATGGATTGTAAAATAACAATTTTACGATTCTTTTACAATCCATGGCAGCTACTAGGCATCACTGGTTTTGGTTAAAAACGAGTTACTAAATTTAGCATTTTTGCTACAGTCAGATGAAGCAAACCAATCACAGTGCTGCAATGCGCTACAGTCAGCTACAGTTGCGCAATTCGATAGGAACTTTAGAGCGATGTTATTTGGCTACATTTGTTTGCGCTTCATCGAGCCAATTTCTTTCGAAGAAAAACTAAGTTGATTAAAGCGCTGCCGCTATGTGAGGATGCCATCGGGAGCAAAGTTAAGGCCGTTCGCCCGAAAGATCGCGAGGTATTTGTGTGTGATTTTTCGAAATTACAATTCGAAACGGTGAAAGAGCGCGCTCGTTGAACCACGTTCGGGTCAGGTAAGCTTATGAATATTAAAATATATTAATAAACAGAATATAAATGTAATCTCAAACGCTCCGTGCCAGTGTTTGGAAATTGCGCGCCAGAGATTTCGAAAATTTAATAGTAAATATATAGAAAGCATCAAAGTTGCGCGGCCGATATTTGCGCGGCCGATATTTCCGCCGCACGATACAAACTTTCCACACTGGTAAATGATAACAACACAAAGATTCAGTGTGGAAAGTTTGTATCGCGCGGCGGATATCTCCGGCGCGCAATTTTGATGCTTTCTACTGAATACTGAAATATACAAGCAAAACCTCGAAATTTGGCTTGTATATTTAAGTGGTTGAATCTCTGTTAATCCGAAGGTTTCTATCAGTATATAAATGTGTCTGTTTGTGTTATACATCTATCTGCCCATTGATTTTATGCATTGATTGTAATTGGGCTATTGCATTTAATATGCGCACCCCCCCTGTTGAGGACCTCCCTTTTGTAACCCCCCTAAAGAATTGAGATTTTTACGAACCCCTGAAGAATTCCAGTCTGAAAATATTGAACCCCTGAAGAATTCCAGTCTGAAAATGTCGAACCCCTGAAGAATTCCAGACTCCTCAACTACATAAATGTATACTAAAGTAAAATTAAACATGAAAGTAGCACAGCATAATGTTGCACTCTGTATCTGCTCATTTGAGCATCTCCCAGGATAAATGGCACATACGAGAGCAAAAATATTAAAGAGCACTGACTCCGAATAAGCGTAAAGGGTTTAATATTGCTCATCAGAAATTTGGAAATGTGCAATTCTGTTGCGGTATAAATAAAATAATTTTACAGTATCGCCCTCAAAAATAACATGATCGCCCTCAAAAATGGATATATAAAGACTGCTGGCGGTATAATATTTAGCATCATAGTGAGAATATGATATGCCTATATATTAAATATCTAATATTTAACAAATATAAAACATTTTCCGTGTTGATATACAGTTATATCAACACGAGTGGAAATTGGGAAAACGAGAAATTGTGTGGAAACACGACGCCCGAAGGGCGGAGTGTTTTCACACAATTTCGAGTTTTCCCAACTTCCACGAGTGTTGATATAACTATATATCAATACGGAAAAAATGTTTTATATTTGTTTTATAATATAGCAATGTCAAAAGCCCGAAGAATAAGAACAATTTCCGTGTTTATAAGCGGCGGGAAATTTCCCGTGTTGACATGGAGTTATATCAACACGGCTCTTAGCCAATCAGCGTTCAGAATTTACAAATGCTATTTTATAAATAAATGTGTTGGTATACTGTAAAATATAGATATATTACAGTCCTGCCAATAGACGCGTTCCGAAAAATGTTGACCAGTTCATTTCCTAACTTCGAGGAGTTCCTCTCAACAATTCCTCAACGATTTGATAAGTACTTAAAAAATTCCTAACTTCCTGTTTCATTGACCAATCAGATTGCTCAAAAATAAAATATAAAATTTGATTGGTCAATGAAACAGGAAGTCAGGAACTTTTTAAAGAAAGTTTCAAAATTTTAAGGAATTGTTCAGAGGTGTTCCTTCAAGTTAGGAAATGAACTGGTCAACATTTTTCGGAACGCTGAAATAATAATTTTTCCAGCTACTTCTTGCATACCACTGGCTCAACCTACAGATAACTGAGTTACAGTATACGTACCTGCTTGCCAGCAGATAACTCAGTGATTTGTTGGTTCAAAAGCCACAAAATATGTCTATACTGTGTAATTAATGAAATTATTAATAACTTATCATTGGTGACACATGCGGAGATTGTGAAAGACATTCAAAAACCATTCTGGCCATGAAAGACATTTAACCCATAATTTTCATCATCTTAAAGGCTCGCTTACACTTGCAATTTTTGCTGTGATTTTAGGTGCGAATTTCTTCTGATGGATGTGAACGAGTGGATAAGTTATGAATGTTCAGATGAGGGTATACATAAAATCAGAACATTCGTAATCGTAACTTATCAGTCAAATCGTTCACATACAGCAGAAGGAGAAAATCGCATTAGAAATCGCAGCAAAAATTGCAAGTGCAAACGTAAGACATTTGTAATCATCCTATTTTGCTTTTTGTTTGAGCCGTGCTCTACATACGCAATTTGCCTAGAGCTAATAGTGGCGTCACCTCCACAGAATAAACACAGTTTGGTTCACTGACATACACAACAGAAATTTCATCATTTTCAATTGTTGACGACTGTACGTCTGCCGAATACCAGCCTGGTTTCCATCCAGAATCTCCTATCTCCTCTGATGTCCATCGTATTTTTACATTGGAGCCAACTTCGAAATAATCTTCATATAATTAACTTCCTTACTACCAGTTTTGTTCTCCATTGTGTTTTCAACCTTATTCATGTTGGAACTGTGATGTGTTTTATGGTTCAGGTATATCAATAAAGTTTCAAATAAGTTCTCTAAGTTTTCCTTGGAGACACCATATGGAATTGGTATTTGGGATTTCTTTGCTAAATTCTTTCCAGGAAATTTTCTTGTTCGGTAAATGTCCGGTTGATCAATAATTTCACAGTTGACTTGATACAATATCAATGATTGAACCAATTTAATCAAGTCCTTTATTTCGCGTACTTGCATATAAGATGCCAAATGAGATCTTCCGTTTCGCAATAAAAACACACGAAGGACCAAATTGTCTTTCTTACCAGCTGCAGACAAATTGTGGTATTTCAAAATACACTGAAGAGTTGCAGCAGGTAACTTTTTTAACATTGAAATACTTTTTGGCAACGAACCCAAATCACCTTTATAGTCGGCTCGAAAATCGTCTGGAACGTCTTCATCTTGAGCAAGTACCAACGCCTTAACAATTACGTACTTCGGACCTTTGAATGAAACATTGTTTTTCTTGCACATTTGTTCTAATTCGCCCATGTTAAGTTTGTAAAGAGGATGACTGCGCCAGGTCTCCCGTCCAATATTATCACGGCAGCTTTTGTCAGCTTTCTCTCTGTTCTTGTTGAAGTATTCAGTTACTTCTTCAATTGGTAACCATGAAAGGAGAGCTAGTTGTTGCAAGATTTCATTTGACGGATCATTTTCAATGTCAAAGAATATGTCCAAGATTCGTGTTGGCAAAAATATATCACAGTCAGTAATTTCAGGCTTGTCTCTTGCGAGTTGCTCAGTTTTTTCGTACGAAAGAAAATGGAGTTCACCAGAATGAACCCAACGGATGTAATCAGGTATTGGCTGAAGTGTTTTTCCATTGTGATCATCAAAATGTGACGCATCACGCAGCATTGTCCCATATTTGTCTTTGTTGGCTGTTCTGACACCAGACTGGTTAGCAATAATTTTGCAATCTTCGGCATACTGACCAATGTAGTTTTCATCAAGTTTCCATGTTTCAACCAAAGTATTAAAATACTCATTTTTCAGTGGTGTGTACGTCCAATCGCAGTCCATTTTACGCTCTTCATTTAAATTAAGATACTCCTTCAATTTGAGTTCGTCATTAAAAACAACGTTTTTCGCAACACCTCTAAAACACTGTATAAACGAATTTCCAAACCGTGCACATGATAAACATTGTTTAACATCTTTGGCCATCGATTCCATATTCTCGAGGTGTTCAGGACTATGTTTTTCAACGTTTTGGTGGACTTTTGAACTGCAGAATGCTCCATGTCTTGATAAGGCAACATTTTCAGCGGCGTGCACACGCTCTACAAAATTCCGTTTACTGTGGTATTCGGCAAAACTTCTCTGATTTATTTTGTTCAGCTGTAATAGGCACATTTGTGTGAGCGCGCTGTCGGGATCCTCCCCATGTCCATTGTCGACAACGAAACTAAATAGACGCTTCAGACTACCAGTGTCTGGGTTTCTAAAAACAGAGTCTAGAGATGGCAAAGTTAACAAGTAGAACATCTCGTTCATAGCCCGAAAGGTAGTTTCTGGTTCTGATATGCCAAGGTACAGTAACGTGACCGGTTTTCCTGTCCTTGTGACCGATATTTTCTTCATTCTATTGTCTTCATGCGAAACCTCACCAACACTTTCTAAATCCAAGAATAAATGAGTCATTGGGACAACCGCGTTTACCCTGCTTTGGTCAAAGGTGTGATCTTCATAGGAAATGGGTTTCCATGATTTTCCAGGATATTGAACCGGCTGGATATCTCCGCACACTATGGCTTTCGCATCTTTGGAATCAATAACGTGGTCATTTGGCGTTGTTTCAGCTTCCTCCAACATCAAATTTACCGCTTTAGTAGACCAATGAAGATTCACTACTAAGTGAGAAACTGCATCACGTGGTGGGCGTTTTAGCGATATTCTAGCGTTAATGTTCTTTCCTGCATGGTGTCTTTTTGCAGCAAAAGAGTTGTCCTTGTAGGTGTCTGTGTAATTGTAGCAAGACGACAATGAAATGGAAAAGTTTGGTGGAGCAACTTGTAAAATAATTTCTCTAGCCTGACGCATGAAAAGATTGTTATCAATACTTTTATACATTATGTCAGTTGTTAATCTGCTGTGAGACTCTAAACCACCTTCAATGCCCTTATCACCTGCAGTAAAAATGCTTTCAAGGACAAGACCGAGTTCCGGGAATATGTCTGCTTTAAGGGGACGGCCTCTACCATCGTACGACCTACGAAACTCCTTACTTTTTCTCAATGCTATGATGCGCTTGTGCAAACGGCGTTGTGCCTCATTGGTCATGTCATTTCGTACCGTTCTAGAAGTTGTTTCAATGTCTTGGAATTGAAGCAAATTTCCCTCTAGCTCATTCTTGCATGCCATAATTGCATTTTTGTTCTTTACATTCGAAAGCTTGGCTACGAAATTTGTGCTAGTAGCTGTTGCAAAAAGACCCTTAATCAAGTCTCGATCTTTCTTTGTGTCCGCAAATCTTAATGCCGTGTTAAAGAGGTCGCCAATCTCATTTTTTATGTGATTGTTCATTTCCTCTTTAATTCCTGCTCTGCTTATATCTTCTAATTTCTTAACAACCGCATACAGGTTTTCACGTTTTTCTACGAAAAATGCGGTTTCATGCAAATGTATTTTAGATATGTTCAGATGCGGTGAAAGAACAGCCAATAATTCAGTAGGTTTCGGACAAGGTCGCTTCAGTTTATTATTCGTTATGTTTTCTTTGTATGTATTGTATATTAGTCCCAAGCTGTTTTGCAATTATAATAGGACCATTTTTTAAGAAATATTTCCCGACTTCAAGAATAATTCTATATTTTTCTTTCAAATGTTCATTTGTTTCAAATGTAATCTTTTTTCCAAATCCACAACATTCTTTTGTAAATATCCGTCGGCATGTACAATTCGATTTCGACTGTTGTTTTTAGAGGATAACTTTCCGCGTCTCTTATACCATTGTTTTGATAGTCTGGGAAAAATAACTGAATTTTGGCTTGTTTCAGTGGTGCCTTCTTCATTCGAATCATCATCAGTACTGACGAAGGAATACCATTTTTTTGACATGCGAGGAAAAGGTAGGAGTGAGTTGGTCTGAGGAAGTAATATTTCAGAAGGATTCATGACCGATATTGGGTCAGAGAAGATTCCACGTTCATCTGACATCTCGTCGGATTCGTCAAAAGCATTCGATGTGAGGTAGCTTTGAGAATCGCTGAGTTTAAATGATTGAGAGCGGTACCAGTTACGTGACAAAGATGGGAATTGAACGGTTAGTAAGTCACAAGATTGAGTGCCCGTACCTTTCTTTTCTTGAGATGAGGTCGGCCGACGTTCCTGTGTTCTTTTAACAACTACTGGTTCTCGGTTAACTTTTCTCTTCTTTGAGAATCCCGTAGTAATATTTGCAGCATGAGTTCTAAGTGTTAAAGAGAGTGAAGAAAGTTACATACTGTACATACGCCTAACGTGATCTTTTAACAATGTGTGGTTTCCTTGTATTTCGGTGTAACTTATCATAAGGCTGTTCATATGTTATATTTTGTCTGTCTGTCTGTCTGTCTGTCTGTCTGTCTGTCTGTCTGTCTGTCTGTCTGTCTGTCTGTCTGTCTGTCTGTCTGTCTGTCTGTCTGTCTGTCTGTCTGTCTGTCTGTCTGTCTGTCTGTCTGTCTGTCTGTCTGTCTGTCTGTCTGTCTGTCTGTCTGTCTGTCTGTCTGTCTGTCTGTCTGTCTGTCTGTCTGTCTGTCTGTCTGTCTGTCTGTCTGTCTGTCTGTCTGTAAAACCATAATTGAATAGATTATGCACAAGCGCAATTGAAACTATAGTAAAACCATAATTGAATAGATTATGCACAAGCGCAATTGAAACTATATGGATCTAAGGCCCGGTTTAGACGGCGAACTTCTCATGCGCCGAATCTAATGCAAGAATTAAGTGCGACGCTGGAGCGGCGTCTAAATCAATTAAGTTCGACACGTTTTGATTAAGTTTGACATGACTCGAAGATGCGACAAGACAAGTCGTATATGCGACACAGGTTCGACATTGATTTAGACGCCGTGCTTTCAATACGCCGAACCTAATGCATAATTATTTTTTAACATCACAATATGATTATCATATATTTGCATTGTAAATATGTCTAATATCGTGTCCTCGCAATTTCGTACGGTACATTAAGTTCGACTTCTAAATCAGCTTCCGATATTTTGCCGTATCTACGACAATTAGATTCGGCGCATGAAAAGTTCGCCGTCTAAACCGGGCCTAAAAAAGTAACAAAATTCAGTCGTCGAACTTGTGGTAATCATTATTAGAAATTACATATTACTGAGTTCAAATCAAGCGCTCAAAAATCAGTCGGGAAACTGGCACTTGAGATAGCTGTTATACGCATGCAACTAAAGAGTTTAGGTTTTTGTCGAGGGTCGAGTGTCGAGGGTCCGATGTCGAGGGTGAGGGTAAAAAGTCGAGGGTGAGGGTAAAAAGTCGAGGGTGAGGGTAAAAAGTCGAGGGTCGTAAAAAAAGTCGAGGGTTGTATTTTTACGACAACTAAGACAACTACTAACGATAAAAGAATTTTTAAAACGGTGTTTCTCCTTATGTAAATCATGAATTAAGGGAGAATTCTGGTCTAGAAACCATGGGCGTACCGGAAGGAAAAAATTGGGGGGGGCGGAAAGAAAATTGCCCGACTTTTCGGGATTTTGCCCGACTAGTACCAAAAAATTTTTTCCGGAAAAATTTTTTGGCGAACTCCCAAAATTTTTTTGGCGACCTCCCGTCGCCAAAAAAATTTCGGTCAATGTACCATTTTAGGGGTCAAAAAAATTTTCCGGACAACCAATATTTTTCGGAACATACACAAAACTTTCGAAAAATCACAAAATTTGCCAAAAATTGACTTAATTTTAGACAAAATTTACAGAATTTGTCACATTTTTTTTTTATTGCAAGCCAAAATTGCCCGACTGTTGATCGAATATTGCCCGACTGCCCAAAAAACTGGGGGGGCTGCCGCTCCCCCCGCCCGGTACGCCTATGCTAGAAACTAACTCATTAAGTTGATGATTTGGGTCGTCTGGTTAAAAAGTTTCACGCACGCAGCATGTCTTCTAGCTTGTAATGTCTCCAGGCCACTCGGATTAAGGCATTTTTAGATAAAAAGGCGGAATTTTTTCATTAAAAGCAAAGTCAAAGAGCATTTATTATCAATATTAACTTAAAAGTCTTAAAAGAGTTTCTAAACGTAGTATAATTTCATAAACAGGCCAATGGCAATGTTCAACCTCGCATCAAGCAAAGGCCTCCGTCCCGCCGCAGGTGTGCTTGCGAGGTTGGTCAATGACAATGTTTGGCCGTGAGACGAGTAATATTGACTGAATCGTTTAGCGTTAATTGGTTTCTTGAAACAGTGGCATGTCTGCACCGCGCTAACCGCGCTCCGATCTAGCAGAAAACCACACAAGTTTTTTATCATAACTTGCTATTGGTAGCAAGGCGCGGGCCCCGCGCGGGGCGGGGCAGTAGAGTTGATATTTCGAAAACGAATCAAAATATCTCAGATATTTTGATTCGTTTTCGAAATATCAAAAACTAAGAGACAGAAGAATGGATTAATGTAGACGTAGCCTAAGGCTGCCATATATGCTGGAGGTCGGGTTGAGTTTCACCACAAACTGCAGTGCCATGATTTTGCTTACTACCCTGCTCTGAATCAAATGAATGTGCTTAACTAGACTTGAGGTTTGTTCTCCCCTGGTTCTCGGGTTTAATTTTCTCCCTCGCCAGCAACTAACCCTTAGTTGTCGAGCACTTATACTGTATAGATTTCATGAGCCCTTAGCTCGGGTGAATTTGGGAAACTACACCCGTCCGTATATGTGTGAATAAAGATGAGGTATGTTGCTACAAAGATGTAGTGTATATTACATTCTCTTCTTAGAATGACCAACTATTACGAGTCACATATACCCGGCATATTCCCGGTTAGTGGCACTTTAGTCGCATAAATATAACAAATCAATACACTCCCTTTCATCCATCTAGAAACTATTTATTCACTTTGAAACTGCTTTATTGTTATTCACTTTGAATTACTTTATCATCCTTTAATATAAAGGAACGTATAGTCCAGTCAAGTTCTTGACGTTAAATGATCGTGCGCAAATAGTTGTTGATAAAAGACAAGTCTCCTGCCAAGTCGTTCAGTGCAATGTCAAAAGCATCAATATATGTAGCGTAACAGAGGAATTGCGTAGCCTTTTTAGTGATTGGAATTTTGGCACAGTTCTAAAAAAAGTTAAGAATTTTATTGAGCATGTCTTTTGTTTAATTAACATTTTTTTTCGTAATCGTTATTGGCTAAAAAGGGATTAAAATATTTTTTTAACCCTGACCTTTACAAATTGAACTCCATTTTTCACAATATTTCCAAATATTTAATACGTTCTAGCATTCACCCATTCCTGACTTTTCTTTGGGGTTGTTACACCCCCCCCCCCCCCAAGTCGGCACGGCCCTGGTTGCTTCAGATTTCCACGATTATTGAATAAAACGTGCATTGGCATTAATATATCTCGTCTCTAATGACTATAACGATTAGTTTTATGAATGAAGATACTACAATCTTGGACATAACTGGTTGAGACTATTTTCCCCCTATAGAAAATTCACATACTTTGACGATAAACTCCATGTTGAATCATCTTGCCCTTTTGAAGTCCCCGCTCCCCCAACTCAATTAATGTTGAACTTGTGTCATGGTATATTACCAAAAGTTGTTTCGGCGTTGTTTACAACATTGAACTGGGGGGGGGGGGAGACAAAGTTTGTTTTGTCAATATTCAATAACTTTGTAATATTAGCTGGAATGGTCTCAAGGGTTTTGTCCAAGATTGTAGTAATTTTGTTCAATAATCGTTAATAACTGTCTCATTCAATGTCTTAAAGTTCTTAAAAGTGAAAATATCTTAGACGAAACTCTTTAATGATTTTTAGGAGCCGTTTAAAGGAGTAAAAATATTTGCTTTACTATATATACATGCACTTTAATAAATTATGTCAAATATTGAACGAATGAAGCTATAAGCCTCCCATGTTTACACCAGTATCTTGGCTTACCATGTACTCTTTTACTTTTTTGGTTATTTCAGCAGAATCGGGTTTAATATTGCCTGATCCTCTATATCCCTGCATAAAACAAACGAAATAAATTAGGTTAAAATTCAATGTCATAAAAATGCACACACCAGTAATATATATTGATAATAGCTCTCCCTCTCAAATAATCTTCATCTCTGATTATTATCCCCTCCTGTATAAAGCTCAGTTGCTTCTCCACCAAATGAAACATAATAGATACAGCATGTCAATTGACTTCCCTGTTCAGTTTTACCGCGTTTGCATTTTGTAAGATTAATTATAACTAGGAGTTACTATCGCAAGGAAAATGCTGCCGATATGTACATGTAGGATGTGCTACAAAAAGAGCGTTTTTCACTGTATGTAGGATTTATTGTCTTACACATCGTCGTTCCTCAGTTACCTTCGTACAATTATATCTTACATCTAATCTTATGAAAAGTATATTTTAATATACTTAACAGTGCGACTTTGATAGTTGACACATAATACGAATGATAAAATGTGAATATTA